GTAAGTCGGGGTATAATTTCGCAATTTGTGTAAAATCCAAGTCGGATGTATGTAAGCTAATAAATGTTCTCGTTAATCTTATCTCGTCTTTTGATTCGTTCACGGTTACAAGAAATCACCACATAGTCTGTCAAGTCTCCATAGATATTACAAACACAGAAATAAATAAGACAAAATAAATTGTAGCTATGTGTCGATTCCGCACGACATGTCTGAACATGTAAGCTGAACAATAGTGTGGAGGGAGTGAGTAATCAAGAGTTGCGTGGCGCTCAAACAAAAGACGAATCGACGAGATTTGAAAATCGCATAACTCCAGGTTCGCGTAAGTCTAGGTATTACTGTATTTCTTTTTTCTATGGTCATTGCAAGAGCTGGAAAGTGTACTGTTTTCACGATGTTTGTTTCATCCCACTCAGTGATAAGAGATGCATAGAATAAAAAAATGAAAAGATAAACATAAGAAGAACAGAACAGTGGCTAATGGAGAATGATTTGATCTTAACAAGAGCAGATAAAAGTAAACAATTGGTAATTATGTAAAACCAATTGTATAACAAAGCTGTGGAAGATTATATTTAAAAAATAGATTGAAAAATAGTAGATGGAAAAAATTGTTGTGAGGATAGACAGAAAAGTTAAGAAGCTTAAAGAAACCTAGTTAGTCTCTGTCTTACATTCTAAAAAGGTCACATAACCCTAGCCCCCAAATGCCAAGAATTTTTGCCTTCACAAAAACTCACAAGAAAAACAAGCAACTAAATAAAGATGGAAAACTGCCAAATGTTTAAATTTGTCACACTTAATAGTGTTTGAGCAACAAAAAAACAAGTAAATTAGACCTGTATTACAAAAATGAAATATATCAACTTATATTTTTGAAAAACACCTACATAGACTGGGCAACATGTCCTCTAGTTGGTTGGATATATATCCAACCAACCAGAGGACATGTTGCCCAGGATCTAGCCAAAGTCATATAGGAATTGGAGTGTTTAACTTTAACAGATGAGGAGATAGGAATGGTAATGAACTTTGAAAATATTTATCAATCCATTAAATTAGAATCTTGCTTTGATGCACTCATTGAATTCATGGTTCACAAAATATCTGAATTATCAGTTTATGCAAATGAGATAAAAGGGATGACATCATGTTGTGGAGACAAAAGATAGAGGGTCTTTGTGCAATAAGAAACATCTGGAATTCAGAAAATCTAATTCAGCAATGATACCTGGAGTACAGCATACTATATTGAGAGTGTAACAGACAGTACAATCAAATCAGCCAAGCAAACGCAAACCGATGGCTGCTCAATAAGTTTGAAAAATCCTAGTAGAAAAGGCAAGTGGCTGATTTTGGTTTGCATTGGAAGTAACGGTGGATTTGTTAAAGAAGTTAGCTTAATCTTTAAATCCAAAACACACCTGAGTTATCAAAATGAAATGCATGACAAATTATCCCATAAATGGTTTGAATCAGTTCTACTGAAACTAGAGCACAATAGCTGCATTATCGTGATAATGCAAAATACCACTGTGTAAAATAGAAAAAATCTCCAACTGCAGCTTGAAAGAAACGGCACATCTTGTCATGGCTGTATAAAAAGGTATTATATACCCCCAGGCATGCTGAAGATTGAGCTTCTTCAGTTGGTGAAATTAATGAGGGAGAAACATGAAAAATGTTATTGATAAGTTGGAAAAAGTTTATGGATGCTGAGTGTTGTGTGTTCCTTCATGCCATTATCAGTTAAATCCAATTGAAATGGTAGCAAGTCAAGTGAAAAGTAACTTATCCAGAGAAACACATCTCAAACTACAAGATGTCCAGAGACTGATAAGTTACACTTTTGCAAGTGAGTGCCAAAAATTGGAGGAATTATGTGCAGCATTCAATTAAAGATGAAGACTTCTAGAATGCCAACACTACAGGAAAAGGTCATTCAGCCACACTAATCATCAGCACAGTTGAAAGCAATAGTTGTTATGACTGCAGTGGTATTATGTCACTTTCAGTTAACAAACAGAAATTGGACCATAAACCAAGTTAAAATTGTTTCAAAAAAGTACTCTTTTAAGGACTACCTAATTTTGATTAAAGAAATCAAAACCTATGATGAAAGAGGAAGCAATTACACCAGTGCATTTTATCATAAATTTTCACTTGTAAATACAATTTTTAATTCTATATCTATTAAAACTGAAGCTAATTGTAAATAAATGAAGCAATTATTTATTATATAAAAAATTTTAAGTTTTATAAAAATAATAATAATAATAATAATGTATTTTTATTGTTATTTTTTTTCATTTGGAATAAAGTTAAAATTACCAGGTTCTTGGAGACAAAGTGAGTTCTTCCCAAAAGATACTTGAAAGCTTCAGTTTTTAATTTAATTCAAAATTATGCAAATTATTAAAACAAAAATTTAAAGAGAATGAGTATGTGTGTGGATACAAAACAAAAAAAAACCCAAGAAATATTTTAACTTTGAAACTAGAAAAACTTTTATTCAAATAAGGAGTAAAGAAAAATGTACAAACTTTTCATGCAAAACTCTATAATAGGTCCTGTGATACATGTAATGAAGGAGTTGGTGATCACAATATGCTACAAGAAACTGCATATCTAGAAAGGCAGTTTACAAAAGAGACAAATTGTATGTTTACTTTTACAGACAGCAAACAAACTAGATTATGATTTATTCATTACAGTAGGGCATATGCAACAGATTTGCTTACAGGTGTTGCAACTGCTGCCTCAGAACTCTCATACTCATCATAGATGTCTGAAGCTAGTATTCTTTTGGTCTACTCAATGGATGCATATATGTAAATATTAAGGACTTCTTTCTTATTAATGTGTTTTCATTTTATAGATTTTGGAAACTAATTAGTGTGTAGTCTTGCATTGTTTTTTAGAATTCCTCAAAATTTTGGACATAAGTCTATATGAATACTACAAGAGAATGAAAGAATAAGCAACTGTTTACTTTTTAATATATAAAACCACTGTGAAGACTTATCAAAATAATTATTATAAAAATTATTAAACGAACATTCTCATTGCTTCTTTAACTCAATTCTTAAAAAGAAATATTAGTTTTGGATTTAATATACTGATGGACTTCCAAATTATGAAGTCTTATGTAACAAATTTCTCTATTCAATAAAGTTTTTCTACAGAAATGTTGAAAATAGTTTTTTTTTTTTTTTATATTCAGTACTAGTGCATTTTCTTTTTAACAAATTTTCTATATAAAAATTTTCTGCATTTCCCAAAGGCAGTTTATTATACAGAAATTTAACTGTAATAATATCTGCAGATATTTGTTATTTTACAAAGAACTAAAAGATGCACTTTTTAGAATTGATATGTTGTAAAAAAAAGAAAAGAAATATTCAGAATTGTATTGATTTTCTCACATGATGAAAACTTTTCAGAAATATAAGCTGATGGGGAATTTATCTCTTATCTAAGAAAATTTACAGATTTCTAAAACTATATAAATTGATTCTTCAAAAAAAAGTCCCAAAATCTCTAACCAATCTCATTGCATTTTGAATATTCTTTCACTACTGACTTGTTTGTATTTGTCCACTTTGCATCAGTAGAATTGGTTAAGATATTCTTGTCCAAATTGTAGATTTGGATTGTATCCAGCTACAGGCATAAATATTTGTCAGATTTCAGTATGATTTACTACTAAAAAGGAATGCCTGCAACTATAAAAGTATATTGAATTTATATATTTTAAGTATATATATATATAGAATTTATTTATTTTTTAAGTTGCAACATTGAGGCATTCAAAAATTTACCTTATTTTACGCAGGATGCATGGCATATAAGAAGACACAGAATATACAAGAAAAAGTATAAATATAAATTAAATTATTAAAAATTAATGGGATTGGTATAAATATTAATACACTAAAATTAAATTTTAGTTAAAAACAAGTAAAATTATACTCTTTCTATTTTGAGGATTCTATGAGCCAAAAAATGACAAATAAATGGCAACGAACAATCATTATAATGATCGTTCCTTGCCATTCGAAGTCGGAAATAGAAAGAGTATAATTTTACTTGTTTTTAACTAAAATTTAATTTCAGTGTGTTAATACAAGAAAAAGGTTTTTAGTGTATTTCAAACAGTGCCGTAACTAGGCAGGTGCAACAGGTGCACCCGCACAGGGCCCACTTGGAAAGGGGGACCAAAATGCATATATTTGTTTTATTATTTTCCCAAACCTAATTAATTAAGGGGTCTAAATGCAAATTCTTGCACAGGGCACAGGAATGGCTAGTTACAGCACTGATTTCAAACATCCCATGCCTTGGCACTTAGCCCCAAATTTTATTTTATTGTATTCTGGTTAAAAAAAAAAAAATTAAAATGTTATTTTTTCATCAAAACAATGCTATTCTTCATGCAGACATCCACACAAAGAATAACATTGTTTCAGTGGTCAAAACAGACACTCAGGGCCTCTATGAATCGAAAACTTAACAAAAATAACTGCAACTGAGTTGGGAATTATCATACAAAAGATGGGGGAGAAAAGTCATTTATGGTTAAAATTTTCTGTTAAAATATTATACACAAATACATGCAAAAGCTGCTTAGTTATATCAAAATAATAATAAAATAATGGCCTTAAAGATATCTTAAATAATGTAGCTATGTAGCCTACTACAAAATAATAATAATGTGTAATTAAACAAAACTATCTTTAAGTATATCAAACATTGCAAAGCCTAATATGTATATAGAAACATAACCAAATGATCGCCTTAAATAATTAGGCTATAACTCCACTAATTAAATGATTAATTAGTATTAAGTAATTTGCAAATATATTAACATCCCAATAACCTGATGTAATTTGCTACTAGAGGTAAAATGTTATGCACCATCTCTTAACTAAATTAATAATTATAATTTTAATAATTCATTAAATAATAAATAATTGGGTTATAACTCCACTAATTAAGGCAATCATTTGGTTATGTTTCAATAATATCTTTATTTGAAAGTTAGGTTAGGTAGATGTAACGTCTACCTAACCTAACTATGTATATGCAGTGGATAGCTATGAGTTAAGTTTGGTAGAGCCATTTGTGTAACTAGGGAAGGACTCTTCCTCATCTTTGTAAATAAATAAATATCAAAGTTAAATAAGTATATGAAAACATTTGAATATGATAAATGTAAATATACATATGTTAGTACAGTATGTACATAGAGTATAACTTTTGACAATTTATTCTTTATTTTGTAGCACAATGGCTATGTTTATAGGGATATTGGAGTAATTGGAGGTCTGTAGAAAGGTAGCATTCAATGGATTCTAAATTGTCCACTAAATTTAATGCTTTCATTTATGGCAGAAAAATTTACTATACCAAGCCAAGCAAAGTAGAGAGGTATTTTTCTGGTAGTTCATAAATGTTCTATATTTTGCAAGTGAGTAGTGTTGCCACATTCTCAAAATCGCGGACCCAGATGGTAGGTGAGGTTTGTTCAAACAGAAGTTCCTGACACATGCGCAATGTCATTTTGCATTGCGAAGAATAACGTGCAGTGCATGCTGGTTGACAGGTCGTGCATGATATTCCTGGACAAAATTAGTAATTCACCTCGACAGTGAATTCCAGGACTGTCCATTTATCATATTCAAATGTTTTCATATACTTATTTGACTTTTGATATTTATTTATTTACAAAGATAAGGAAGAGTCCTTCCCTAGTTACACAAATGGCTCTACCAAACTTAACTCACAGCTATCCACTGCATACACATAGTTACCGGATGGGTGGTAACACTACAAGTGAGCCTTATAACTTAAATTTTATAGTAAAACTTTATTTTATTAACTTATATTAACTTAAATTTTATGTATGAAATAAAATTGAAGTCAACTTTAATTCGAGTCAACATCAAACTTCAGAAACTACAAACTAACTGAAAATGTTTAACAAAATATAGTTGAACCTGTCTATCTTAAACATGTTTGTCTCAAAATTTATTTTTCCCTCTACATTTTCAGCCTAAACTCAATATATTTTCCTTATTTATCTCAATTAATTTTCTCCCAAAACCTCTATATCTCAAATTATAGGCTGTAGTGTCAATTACAAATTCAAGGCTCAGCAACTACACTTTTATGGCATAAATTACAGTTGAGAAACATCTCTTGCAATACAGTATACATACACAGTTGCAATTAATACTGCTTTTCTCTGACTGAGTACAAATGGTTTGTATCTTACTGCTTGAAGAAAGTCCAACATCAGGAACTATTGACAAACTATATCTGTTAAGGTATGTCAAAAATGTTTTATTTATACCTAATATACTTGCTGTTGTATTAGTAAAATACTGTGCAGTACCTCTAATCAAACCTGTTACTGTTTAGGATCCTCTATATCTCAAAACCTGTCTATCTCAAAGTGTTTTCCTCATTCCCGTCAGATTCGCGATATACAGGTTCAACTGTATTTATATTTAAAAAGAGCTTTTACAATTTATATTATGTTATAATTTAGGCTGTATTGTAATATCGGTTCTAGTTACATTTCTCATAGGGCTAGCAAATAAATTTAAAATGCTGTAGTCATATTTTTTAATACAAATGTTTTTAGAACATAAATACTTTAAAATCAGAAAAAATTTGAATCAGTATTATATTTAAATTAAAATTGAATTATCTATTAATTACAATTTTTCTTTTTTGGGGCTTCTTAGCCCTCTTGACAATGCCAGTGGTTATATAGAAGTTAATAATGTAATATGCAAACAACATAACTTTGCAATCACATATAAAATTTTAAATTAAGTAAATTATGTACAGTAGCTTAATATTTTATTTTATAATGTAAATATTTTAAAAGATTTAAATATTTAATGAGATTAAAATAATAAACTGTAACAGTGAATTAAGTTAAATAAACTAAAAGAATTTATAAATGATGACTGATAAATTTATTTATAAAAGTAAAATATATATGTTGAATTATTATATATTATCTTCATTCTTGTTTGTTTAATTAATTATTTTAAAAAAATATATATAATAACTTTATAAACTATCAAATTTCTAAACTATAAAGGAATAAAAATTGTGTGTTTGTATATATATAAGTTGATATTGCACTTGTAAGTTTATATTTTGAATATTTAAAATTAAATATAAGTATTATATTAAGTAATTTATGAAAGAATATATTATCTTAAATACAGTAGGCCTATTTGTTACGATTAAAATCTGTGAATCAGATAAAGCTAGCATTATCCATCTAATCTTAACTTTATTCAAGTCTTTTGGTTAAAGCAGGAAACAATATATTAATTTTGAACTACCTTCATCTATGTAAAGCATGCATTACCCAATTCACAAGTGGATAAAGCTGACATTATCAGCTTAAAATTCAGTTTTATCCATCTGTTTTGGATAAACCAAGGAGAAAATTTAGGATTTTACTTTAGCCAGATAATCTGTAACTTTTCCAGTGCAGGATGGATGGATAAATAATTTTGCTTTTTAAATCAACTAGAATTTTCATAGCTTTAAAACAATAAGTAGGTTTACTTTGGTTTACAGAATATCAATATGTACTGTACCCAGATTTTAAATGATGTAGCCAGAGATTAATCATAGTAATCAATACAATAAAATGGTTGATGGCATAGTACAACCAAGATAATACAAGTATGACTTGTCTGGTAAACTTTCATGGTTACTTTACACATACAGTATTTATACAAGCCCACAAGTGTTCAATATGAGTAATCTTGGCCACTGCAAATGTCGAATGCAAGATGCAAGTTCCTGCCACGCATGTTGAAGCATTAATGCCAATATACAGTACTTCAACTTGGGCAGGTGCCAAACAGTGGCCGTGTGGATAAAACCACTAAATACTGGTAGTTGGTTGCAGGTTTGTGTCCGACTGAAATGCTAGTTGTGTGGAGCTTTCCGAATTTTCTTTACATGTTCTAACACCTACATAGGGACAAGTTTCCTGTAAAAGTTTTCCCAGGATGCTCATCCCCTTGGCAGATCACTCGTGTTGCATTGCCTTATACACCAATCCAATCTTATTGACTGGGAAATTTGCCGGGAGGAGAGGAATTTAAATGAGGTCTTTCACTGAACCACAAAAAAGGTCATACGGGTTTAGATCTAGATCTTCAAAAGTTGGTGATCACCAGAAGCAACACAATTTTCCTTTACATATGCAATCAGTTCTCTTGAATTGATCATACCATCTGCAGGTTGAGTTCTTGGCAAGGTGCTGTTGCTGAAAACTTGTTGCTTCATGTAAATTCTAGGATGTTTCTCTCTTGGATGTTGGACACAAGCCATTACGCTATACTAAATATTAAACTGCCAAAGTTTAATTACTATCACATTGCAATAAAGCCCTAAGTGAAAATGGCTTTTGTCGAGAATTACTATCTATGAATGGCCGAGAAAGTTCTGTCACGCAATAATAGGGTGCCATTTTCTGGTCAAACAACATATAAAGGTTAAAGAAAAGTTGCTAAGTGGATAAAGATCAATGTTTTTTGTGCACAGGTTTAATGTTATTTTGTGCTTTCATGCTTACTCTATTTCAGCTTTCATGCATTAAGTATGTCATCGTAAGACTGAATTTTTGTATTTTGTATCATCCAAGATATATTTTGAATGTATTTTGTTAACAATGATAGAAGATTTCAGTTACTATTGTAAATGTACAGCAATTAAAAAGTGTTTTATGGTATAATTTAAAAGTTATTATAGAATAAACAAGTTCAACCTAAAAACAGAATACAGCTACAAGTTAAATAGTAATTTTTTTCTATTTAAAATTATATTATGCTTTACTTTATTTCACTAAATATATTTTAAGATATTAATTAATAGGTATTACAATGGACAATACATTCAATAAAAGTTGATAAAATATTGAATGAAAACTTTGCTTTTAACAATTTAAACTTTCATTTTTCTTATGATTAGATGGAACATTAAATTTTATTTTATTTGCACTTATTTCTGTTGCTAGAAATGAAAACATTATGTAATTTGTGCCAGAAGTCTTGTTCCACTTTAGGAGTAATACCAGGTTGTTGTTTTAATAATTTACAGTTGACAGTTGAAAAATTAATTTATCTTCAACATTTGTATTGATTTATTTAAGGTAATTTTCGAAAAGAAAATTGCCGGCGAGTGGTGACAGAAAATGGCATTAAACAGAAAAGTGTCATTTTAGTGCCGCGTGGTGATAGAATAATGAACTAATGTGGCCTTTCGGGAGCAAACGTGTCTTCCTTTTTTATAAGATTCCTACGTTTAAATTCTTCACAGATCGTGTTCAAATTGTTCAATTCTTTTTACTAGCCTTGTACTTGTATATGTATATATACAAGGCTAGTAAAAATAATTGAACAATTTGAACTCACACACACATACACAATATAAAATTATTTTCCACTTCATTTATACAGGGTGAGGCATTTTAACCTGAAAAAGTGAAATATGTCCAAAACTAAGTGTTGCAGAGGAATTTGTTTAAAATAAAATGTATTTGTTTTGAAAAAGAAAGGGTCATAAATTTTTATGAGTATGTTTGTTTTCAAGGTCAACTTGTTATTTCAAACGAAAAACTGTACAATCGACCCCCATATAACACTGTTGATTATCCCGTTTTCTATGAATTCCACGTTGTACGAGTCACTTAGATTTTACAAATACGTGTGCCTGGCTGTGAACGGCTCACGTATTTGTAAAATCTAAGTGACTCGTACAACATGAAATTCTTATAAAACGGAATNTTAAAAAAAATTCAACTTTAATTTCTTTTTATATACAAATATAGCAATTATAATTATTTACTATATTACTATGATAGTCTGCATATAGCAATACATTTGCAGATACTCAAGAGTACTTCTATCCAGTGGTGTAGTTAGGATTATGCCACCCAAACCATCCCCATAACATAACACATATTGATATATAGTACTTAATACATTGAAAAAAGACAAAAATGCTTATTATCAGAAATTTCTGACAATAAACAGTGTTTTTGTGGAAAAATAAAATTGTCTGGCATCTTGTGTCCTTCTACTAACCTGACAAAAATAATTATTTTTTTGTTGCAGTAGACCAAAAGTGCCATCCAGAGTCTGTGCTTCCTTAGCTTTACTACTGCTTCTCTCAGTTATAATATATAGTGGCTCAAAGTCAATTAATATAATATGGTTAAAAACAATTATTATTTGTTATTCAGTTATTTCTACTGAAACTAATTATTAAAAACAAGCAGCTGTTCAAAACTGGTTTTAACTGTTCTTAAAATAATCTTAAAAAATATATACAGTATATATTCCAGTATGCATGTTACTTAGTTAAATAAATTTTGGCCACTTTGTGTACTATGATGATAATTTTTGTATACAAATGAAGTTTTGTGGCTTTTTTATTTATATTTTTCTACAATTGTTAATTAAAACATTATTAAATTAATAGTAGATAAATAAAAATGAACAGGTTATATATCAATGAATGCTTATTATTTCTTACTGAATAGTTTATAATTATTGATTTAATAGACAATCTAATTACTTTTGTGATAATATGCCTCAATTGATCTGATCTGTCAAATAACAGATTTATCATAACATATTCTAATCATTTAAATGATTGCCATATCAACTATTTATATATTTGTAGTGTTGTTATTTATATATCCAAAAAAAATGTTTCTCCAAGGAAAAGAAAAGTTATCTTTCCTATTACTGATACAATACTAATAAAAAAAATGAGTGAAAATATTTTTTTCAATTGATATCTATAAAAGAAAGAAAATTATATTCCCTATTGATGAGAAAGGATTTACTATAAGATACTTAAAGCCAATTTTGTACGGATTTTATTTGAAACTTCATTTTTTTTTTCAACGATACAGTTAAAGTTAGATTTAACGTATCAAATAAATGTAACAAGCGGACAGGAAAATATAAATTTATTTTAACAATCTGTTTATATTAAAAATGTGATAAATTTATAAAAATTCCCTCACTTTCATCCACAAAAGAATTTTATTTTCACTCAATGTAATTATTTCAATAAAGTCAATAGAATAATTGCTAACATTTTTTTAACCTCACAAAATCAATACAAATGTAGGTCATTCCATACATTTAATGCACATCCTTATTTTATTATAATTTGTTTTCTTAAAATACAGAACTATTTAGAACATTATNGGGGGGGGGGAACTATAAAAACCTGAAATGTTCAATGGAAGATTTTTATTAAAACTTATTGTAGGATTAACGATCAAATTCTGTTAAATCGTTACTAAAATTTAGAGTTATCGAAGGAAAAATTTCTGTGATTATTACGAAAATTTAGTGTTAAAGTTTAGAATTATTGAGGAAAATATCTTCTTGAACGATAGTCACTAAAGGAAAAAACCTATATTAAAATTTGAGTTAGAGAGATCAATAAAAATTTAGAGTTGTAATAAAAAAAAAATACTATAAATATAATTTAGAATTATTGGAGGAAAAACATCTATTACAAGTTGGAGTTATTAAAAGAAATATTTTTATAAAAATATAGAGTTTTATTGAAGGAAAAAAACCTCTATTAAATTTTGAGGTCTTTCGAGAAAAATTTTTATTGAAAAGTCATAATTATCAGAGGAAAAAGTCTCTATTAGAAGTAGGGATTGTTGGAGGAAAACCACTATTAAATTTAAAGTTATAGAAGAAAAAAAAACCTCTGTTACCCATAGAAGAATTAACGAAAGCAAAAATTTGTTAGAAATTAGTTTTACTTTTATTTCCATAGACGATGCTTTTTCGTTGTTATCATTTTTCTGTCGAACAAGCGCGAATAATGGGAGGTTTTTACATCAAAAGTGGATCGAAGCGAGATGATAAATATCCAACCTTCAATAAGACTATTGACTGTGGCTGGCCCAAAGACGTATATGATAGAATTCTGCGAAGAAGTAACGGTTACATCATAAGGCTACGCCATCTCGAAAAGGAAATAACAACAATCGAATGTTGAATAGAACAGATAGGTGAAAGAATAATGACAGTTCACTTGGGTATCTTCATTCGTTTTGGCAAAGGCATTTTCTCTGTGTTGGCCGTTTGCTAAATAATCGATGACAAACCCCTTCCAACCGCGGTTTTGTAGTTAATAATTATATTTTTGAAATATTTAGGAGGAGGAGGAGATGTTCCTCCGCACCAATTTTTCGGTGGAAATTAAAATCGGAAAGTAATTATCGTTAATTTAGTATGGTCATAAGTGAAGGCGATCGAAATTATACAGCTGTTAATTATACCTTCTCGACAACAGATGGCCAGACGTCATAAAATATTAATTCCTCTTTTATGTACTGTATAACAAAAGAGTTTACCCATTCGGCGACATAAATATTGCATTTACTACCGATTTTATTATTCCAAGACAATGGATACCTGTCTACAACTTTGGTAAACTGCTTTTAAAATGTCCCCGATTAAAATTGAGTCTTCCAAAACTTGTAAATGCCAAAACGAATTCGTCATCGCGAACGGTACCATTATTATGATGGATAACGTCATCAATCGCGATTCGTTACGCGTCGTCGTCGATTGCGATTCAAGCGGAAACGTCATACTTAATTACGTCGTCGCATTCGATATCTAACGTATGTTTACGTAACAATCATTTTCGTTCGCCATTCTGAGTTACCATCTCGTTCGTAGAGAAAAAAATAAATTAAATAAATAAATAAATAAACTGCCACAGTAGTCCTTTATTTTAGTAACAATAACCTACATATAAAGATTTTTATTTTATTTACTTTTTCGTTTATCGTTTTCTAATCAAAAACAGTAAAGATGATTGATTTAACGCCATCCCTGTGTTTGAAACTTCCTGTTTCCTCCCCGTTTCGGTTCTTTTGTGTTGGAGTCGAGGGAACGAATATCTGGTTTTCTCATCATTCGATCGAAAATGCCCAAACCAAAAGGATTCAAAGAATCTCTCGCAAACCAGAGTTTGTCCTGCTTGTCAAAAGGTGTTTCCATTTGAAGATTATCTTCGGATTCGATGGCGATTTTTGGATGTTTGAAGCATTCGACTACGAGAAAGCTAGCAGCCATCATCACTGTTAAAAGCTTGCACATCGTTCTGAAGGGGGAAAAAAAATAATGTTTTGTTAGATGAGAGAATACATTTAACCAATTACACGAAGAATAACTTGACTTTTGAAATGCAATGAAAGTGCTTTAAACTGTTTGATTCCTTTGAAAACAAGTCTAATTTTCAGTAACTCGAATCGAAAATATTTATAAAATAAAATCTTAGAACGCTTTAAAACTGAAGATATGTTCGGATTTTATTTTTTAAATAGTGACAAAAATCTTAAAGAGTTCCATTACTTTCATCATCTTTTATTATAAATAATAACTTACAAAGCATTTTAATTAAATAGAACAATTAAAGGATTTGCGTTGAAAAATATAACTTTAAAATTAAATAAAACATAAACAATTTAAATCCTAGACTTTTCTAACGAAAACAAGATCTAAAAATATTCAATTTTATTACAAAAAATACAGTAATAAGAAAGTATAGTAAATTAAATTTCGTTATTATTTTATTTTATCGCCTTTAAACCGCTTTTTTAATTAAAATTTAGCTCTTTGTTTTCCGCGTAAAAAATTATCGCAATTAATTAAAGTAGATTAATATATGTCTATCTTGATTCTAATTTAAGTAAATCAATTATTATTTTTTCTGAAATAATCATAATTAAAATTTTTAAGAGATGATAAAATCACAATATGAAAAATTTCGAAAATTTTACAGTTAAAAGAAGTCTTTATGGGGATCCTCCGACTTCAGTATTTTTTCAAATTATTTTTTCTTTTTTTTTTCACTTCTCGAAAGAAGATAAAATTCAAATTTTATCTTGTTTCGAAAGCTGGTTCGAACAAAACGAAAGTGTAGAACTAAGAATAGAATAATCATTTCGAAACCAAAAATTTAATTTTATAGGGAAAAATCGTATAAGACACCAATGCAGATGTTTATAAAATATTGGCCAGTAGTTGACAATTCTCCGACGAACAATGCCTAAATCTGTTAGCTACTAGAAGAGAAATTTTTACATTGAAAACCAAATAGATTTTTGATATTCTGTATTCGTCAACAAACCAGAGTTTATTCATGAATCAGTAATAAGAAATGTTACTTTCTATTTGAAATTTCGTTCAAACATTCTTATATGATTGCCAAATAAACCACGAAAAAAAGAATTCGGTCGAAAGAAAACAACGGTAACGAGTAAGAATGGATAAGAATTCTAATATATGAGTTAGACTAAATGAATTATTTTCATATACAAGTGCTTTGTTATCATAGAAATCAACAATAAAAGTACTTTCTTGCGATCGAATTCGTCGTCATTAAACAAGAAACAGATAAAAACATCTTGTAAATGTGTATTTATGTACATAAAATAAGTCAAAACATGTAAGAATTATAGAATTAATAGATTTTTATAGTTTGAAATATAGTATACGGCGTATAACCCGCACAATTTATGAATATAAAAAAAAAAATTCCGAATTTTCTTACAGCTGAACTAAAATCAATGTATCAGAGTCTACTTACCTGATATATTATTTCGGTTTATTCAAAAATAAAATCTGTATAACTTCCCAGAGTTTCCGGTTTTTATAGCTTTGGGGGTGATGTTGACGCCATTTTTGATCACGTCACTCTTTCGTGGACGAATGAGACAGGACAAATTTTTGATAATAAGCGTTATCTGATTATCAGAAGATGTTAAGTGGTTTTTTTTTTTTTTTTAAAATGTCTAATTCGTTTTTGTTTTTACGAAATTTAAAAATAAACCGATATATTTATTAAAATTTTATCCTTTCAATAAGCTAACCTCTAGAGATAGATAATACTCTACTTAATTAAATTTTAAATAATAAATAAATCCATTAAATTTTCTTTTCTTTTTTTTTTCATAATATGTCGAATTTTTGGGGATTAGAAAAGAGGATTAAAGAGAAATTTTCCAAAAATATTAACTGTAAAAATTCGAAGCATTTCATTTGTATGAACCAACTCTTAAAATGTATTATGGTTTTTTTCATATTTGTTCTTCACTTAACAAATGTATAATTAACATTTTTTATTTAATTATTTAATGAAGAAATAGAATTAATTTCGAATTTTAAGGAGAAATTCCAATTAAACTTTTGAAAGGAATTATTTTCAAGAAGGGACATCCTATAAAATCTAATCTAAATGGAAAGTGGAGAGGGTGCTTAAAATGGCGCATTTTCGATTAAGTGCAGATAAAACAAACGTTTAACTCGTAGTTTTCTTTGAAATAACATTATATAAAAAAAGTATTTAATAATCAGAAAACCGTTTTAAAAGTAATTCAATTAAAATAATTCAGCTAAAATCACTCAAAAAGTTTAAGCGCAAACTTTTAATCGTCGTTCCTCCGGTAAAAATTTTGGCAGATTAACGATTACTGGGAACATTTTCTGTAAAAACAATTCTAAACAGTTTGGCATGGTTCCTGTAAACAGGCGAATCTGCCTAATTTCATGATGTTTAATTTAAACATTCGAAAAAAATGTTGTTTTGGTTTATTGACGATAACCATCCACAATGGATGAATAAATACATTCAACAAAATTCTTGAGGAAAAAATCATTTTTTTTTTTCTTTTTAGTTTTCTTCGCTTCTAAAAATGGCGATTTTATAAATTTAATACTCTTTTTATTATTTTGAGTAATATTTACACATATTGGCTGGGCGACAGAGGGTAAAATTCGTAATTTAAATAAAAGCTAAGAAAGATGTTAGCGTTTAACAATGATTTACACGACTCAGAAGGGTGAAAATATGAGATTAACGCCGTAAACATTTTGTCGTATTTTTTGTAAGAAATTACGACAAAAATAAGTAGAAAAAAAAAGTATTAATTTTTATAATATTTCGTATTCGTTAAATTTTAAATGAATTAATCTTACAAATATGTTATTAGTAACAAAACGAAATATTTGTTATAGAGAACGTAGAAACAAGATCCTATCCTTAGGCTAAAATGCAGCGAAGAAGAAAAAGCGCCGCAACAAAAAAAAATTCATCTTCAGGTAATTCTTAGTTTGTATCGATCGAAAGAAACATTAAGAAAAGCAGAAAAAGAAAAGAAAAAAAAGTTTTACCTTTTCTTTAACGTTCAAGCTAGCACCAAAATTTAAAAGAGTAGTAACAACATCGGCATGGCCTAAGGAAGCGGCAATGTGAAGAGCGGTTCTTTCTTTCTGCATTAGAGAAAATTTGTTAAGGAAATTAACATTAATTTTATATCGTAATTAAAGATTATGGAAATTGAAAGAGTACCGTATCTTCCGCTTCGGGATCACAATTATGCTGTAATAAAATTTCTGCTGCTTCTTTATGTCCACTTTCCGCCGACAGATGCAAAGACGTTTTACCTTCCTGAAAATTAGTTTAATACATTTTATTAATGTATTATTTACGATATTAATTTATTTTTATACTATGTTTTTAAAATTTAATCTATTTAAATATTTACTAGATCCAAGAAAAAAGTTTCTAAATATTTCATTAGTGATTATAATAATACAAATTATATTACTGTATTGAGCTTATGTATTATCTTATTGGAATGCAATTTTCAAATTGCAGACGTATTAGTTCCCACTGGCATCCGTATCTCGAGAACGGAATTAGACAGACAATAGTCGAGACCATATATGAAAAGCTTAGGGGTAGGGGGCACGATTAACTGTATACGAACATCCGGTTGGACCGGAAATCATGTGATTTCAATTTAAAGTTTTCTTCCGAACGGAGTTAGATAACCGTCATGACACTGTTGTTATCAGGAAAAGTATGATGTACAGGAGCAAAACAGTACTAAAATCGAGAGCATATTTTTTACATTAAATACATAATAAATAAGATTTAAAATTGCAGCCTAGCCTTGTGACAATGTCACAAGGCTAGGCTGCAATTTTATGCACAAGGCCGGGCTACATTATGCATAAAGACGTTCATAATGAAGTAAATTGATTAGGATTAATGAGCAATAAATAATTGCTCGTTATTCCTAAAATTTACTTCATTACGAACTTCTTTATGTTATGTTAAATATTTCTAATATATTTGTTCAAATCTATAGCCTAATAGGGACTATAATGTGGGCTAATTCCATAGATATGCAGACTTCTTGGTGCACTAAGGTCACCAAGAAGTCTGCCTCTCCGAGCCGGAAGAGAGCACAAATTATTTAAAAAAATTGAAAGAGGTGACAGATATGTTACAGCATATAGCCACGGTGAGCAAACTACGGCTCACGAGCCGCAAAGACTCTTATTGCTGCTCCCGTATATCGGACATCTACCCCTAAATCCCTACTCCCTTATTAGGTATATTCGGCGCCTCTGCATGTAGGCTATAGAGGAATATCTCCAAAGTCCAATCCTTACCACTAAACATGCTGTGTACATATTATAACTTATACAAAATATCGTTGCAGTAGGACTGTAGGATGTGTCTCTCATCTATCTGTGAATTTCGGTATAGGGATCCTTTGTGATAAGGTATATAGTATGCCTGTTAATACTTTAATGTATCTGAATTGGGGGATATAGACTTATAACTTTGGTAAAGAAGAATAACAATTAAGTAACTACAGAATTGCCATTGTTTTCTCGAATGCCAAATAACCGTTTAATAAAAGCTATTTTTAAAATATGTTATTTAAATCATATAAACTGGGAAATTCCTCAGAATAAATATTTGTCTAATATATTTTTATATTAGAATTTCTTCGTGTAACAATAAATTTATTTTCTAAGAACACCCATGGATTTATAATTAAAATTCAAAATCTAACTTGTTGCTTAGCAATGATCGATAAACACTTCAGTTTGTGATACAGGTATGAATCATTGCGAATGCAAAGAGAATTTTAAGTTCTATTGAAAAATTGCAGGAAATAAATTTATCTATTCAGTTTTATAACCCAAAAAAATATTCATATTCAATAGAAAACTTTGATGTCTTCCGATCCTATTTAATTTCAAAGTTGTATTTTATTTATTTATTTATTCATAATACTATGAAATGAATATTTATATTTGCGCTATTATGTATGGTTGATGAATCGAAATCGAACTTCCGTATTTTTTTCAGGATACATTTACCTCAGCTCTCGTTTTCCTCAGGACAAACGTGTATGGACACGGCATTCCCCCCCACTCTATTAGCTGTAGAGGCATTAAGTGTCTTTTTTCACGCTCACAATGGAGGGACGAGACCCCTATGAAAACTTCGGAATCCATTACTAGTTAGAATCGTGGACCTTAAACGATATGAATTATCGTGTGATGCGGTTTTTGATATTTACGAAAAATGCCTCATAAATTAACCCTTGCCTGGAACATAAATTTTCTTGTACTTTTTGTCAGGACAGCATTTACAGCTTAGGGCCTAGCAACCGAGAATATAAAGCCTTAAATATAAGATAAGTAATAGTAGCGTAATCGTATATTATACATACTGCATATGGGCGCTACTGAGTTCAGGTGGCTCAACCATCTAGTCTGGGACCTCGCGCTTTTAAATTTATTAAAATTAGGTGGATGCAAAAGGGCCTCTTCTGCAAGTTTAAAACCTAGCTTTAATTATAGTATAGTTTCTTCTAATTTTCTCGCCAAGTTCCCGAACGTTTAGTGAAGACGTAACAGAATTCGACGTGGAACGATAGATTAGATTTGAATTAACTTAGCTTCCTGTCAGGATATTTTCCAATTAGATTTTCTATATAAGTTAAAACACTTTAAAAATGATTAATTTTAGTTTAGTTGATTGGAAGAAAATGAGAAACAAGTAAAATAAATGATCGGAAATAAGGATAATGTTGTAAGCGATCGAATTCCTCTTCCATCAATCACAAAACAAGATTGAAGACAAAAACTGCATTTCATGATTATTTTTTTTTTTCTTTTTACTTTCCTCGCCAAGGCAATCAACTCAAGCAACGTTTGCCATTTTTAAAGTGGGTAAAATCTTTAAAAATCACATTTTATTATATTACAGTAAGTTCTTACCTCGTCTCTATCGTCGATTTCTACACCCACTCTTAACAATCTGACTAGGATTAGGTGATGTCCTTTAAGAGCAGCTAAATGAACAGCCGTACGACCCATCTATAAATAAAACAATGTGTTTTATATATCTAAATTTGTACAATTTTAATAGATATATTTTTTTTTAAAAATAGTATCTTACCTTGTCTTTGATGCTGACATCTGCACCGGCTTGAATTAATTTCTCTGTAATTTCCATACAATTATTCATGGCGGCTATATGCAAAGCAGTCTGTCCATTCTAGTTACGAAATTTACGTTTTTTCATCTTAATAATACTTGTTTATTTAAAAAAAAAATTAAAATTACCACACAAGACTTACTTTATCTACCGTATTTACTTGAATATTTTCGACAGATTCGATAAGAAAGTTAACAATTTCAACATTACTATTCTGCGTGCCGCAATGAAGAACCGTTTGCCCTTGCTGGAAAAATAAAAATGGATGTGTAATTTAAGAAATTCGCAATAAATTTGTAATTTTATTTATTAAAATAAATTAATATTTAACGCAGTTTTACCCTGTTAACTGCCCTACAATTTGCTCCATTTTCGACTAACAATTGCACTGCTCCTTTATGACCGAACCACGCGGCCATTAGTACAGGGCGCATTCCATACTGAAATATGAAACATTTTGAAGAATTACGATACAAACAACAAAAGAGTTTGGTTTAAAAGAAAGAAATAAAAAAAGAATTTATAAAAATAACTGTGTTTAATATTGGGAAAACGTTCATCTGCTACGAACAACTAAAGTCAATTTTTTTTTTTTTTTTTATGTGTTACTGCTACTTCGTATGACCGAGAAAATTTACGAGTGTATCCAAAAATCCAATTTTTATCTATTTATTCTACAGAAGTAACGATACTATAAATTTACAGCAATAAAATTTCGAAGTTGGAGTATAATAAATCAAATTTTTAATGTTAAACTAATGACAAAAATCTACCTTATCCGTTGCTTCTATGTCGCATTTTGCGTGTATTAACGTTGCTAATATATCTAAATGTCCTTTAGATGCCGCCCAATGCACGGGTGTGCGATCCATCTACAAAAATGATAATTTTTCTTTGAAAATTCTTTAAAAATTGTCTTCAAATTTAGATTTACAACACTTACGTGACCCTTTGCGTTAACATCTACTTTGGCTTCGATGAGTTTTTTGGCCACAGCCAAATCATTTTTGATTGCAGCTTCGTGAAGAAGTAATTCTTGTCTAACACCTACAAGAAAATGGAAGTCATTAATCATTTTTTTTATTATTATTTTCCCTACTTCCTAATATATTTTTATATTAGAATTTCTTCGTGTAACAATAAATTTATTTTCTAAGAACACCCATGGATTTATAATTAAAATTCAAAATCTAACTTGTTGCTTAGCAATGATCGATAAACACTTCAGTTTGTGATACAGGTATGAATCATTGCGAATGCAAAGAGAATTTTAAGTTCTATTGAAAAATTGCAGGAAATAAATTTATCTATTCAGTTTTATAACCCAAAAAAATATTCATATTCAATAGAAAACTTTGATGTCTTCCGATCCTATTTAATTTCAAAGTTGTATTTTATTTATTTATTTATTCATAATACTATGAAATGAATATTTATATTTGCGCTATTATGTATGGTTGATGAATCGAAATCGAACTTCCGTATTTTTTTCAGGATACATTTACCTCAGCTCTCGTTTTCCTCAGGACAAACGTGTATGGACACGGCATTCCCCCCACTCTATTAGCTGTNGTGTTTTTTAAGCAAGGATGGAATTTTTTCTTATTTAAATCTGTAATAACGCCTTTATTTTTATAGAAATTTGTTAAATCTACAGGTAAACTGACCCTACTCATGGATAAATTTTGAAAATACTTTAGAGATGATAAACCATTACTTACCATCATACAGAAATCGTAGATTAATACCTCCTCTTAATACATAATTAACATATAAAATTATATTTAATTATCATAGATTCTGAGATACTTTAAACAGGATAATTTGTTTTAATTAATTAATTATATATTCATCTTTCATTTATGAATATAGTTAAGGCGCTAACAATAAAGTTTAAGGCACTTTATAGTTTGGTGGAGCCAAGGAAAATTTGAATTAGGTTGACGTCGGTGGGAATTATTTTCTCGTAAAAGATTAGTTTGGGGTGGGGAATTGCCCCCTTTTTTGCCCTATAACGCGCCACTTTTTAAAGGGGATATTCTGTTTAAAATATTGATTAATAATATAAAAATTTCTCTTCTTAGATATATTTAAATAAATATAATTTTTACACGAGGTAAAAATCTTGAAATTATTATTCAAAATAATGAAAAATATGGAAGTAGAATGGATTGGTTGGCTTCCAAAGAGATAAATGACATTCCCTAAGGATTTATGAATGAAGAATGAGTTTAAAATAATAATAATAATAATGATAACAACTGCAAGAATTTTTCTAATAAAAATAACGACAGATCTGCTGATTTTTTTCCATTCATTAAAAAAAAATACATTAAATAACGACGATAATAACAATAAAAAAAAAGAACTATCCTAAAATAGTTTTATTGATCGATCTACTGATTTAACTTTGCATTAACCCGAATATCGATAATACACATAAATTTGGGATCGATTTTTCCCTGGAATTTTTTTTAAAGTTGCCTTCTCTCCTCGTCATCCGTAATAATTAAATAACTTAAACGAACCTAACGTGATAAGTCGGCACGTCTTTCAATCCTTCAGTATGGGGGATTTAGTATCTCTACCGATAGACGGCGTTGTAAAAGAGGTAAAGAACATAACAGAAAGTGCTACAAAACGAGAATAAAACTTACCCCTTGAGGAATGGCTTAACTGTAAAGAGACTAGATCTATGTCGTGCGCTTTACTGGATGCTAGGGATGATCTCTTGGATCTTCTATCGGATGATTCGTTAGCTCGTTCTTCCATATTGTTTCTATCTTGTCTCGTATATACTCTTTCTCACTCAAGGATAGATAGTCTCGATGCCAGGTGAGTGTCGTCTGCTCGGTTGCCCCTCTTCCTCGATCGATCGATGAGAAATTTTACCACTAGCTGGCGTCACTGCTGTTTTGAAATATTATAGTCTAGTAGTTCTATGTCTGACGTGATTAACATACGTTCCAAGATTGTTTGTCCATGCATTGTCACGAATTCCCTCCCCCTACAAGTAGAATTTTTATACATTTTCTTACTTTTTCTGCTCTAATATTTGTACTTTTTTTTTCTATCTCTGTCCCTCTCTTCAACAGTTTAATCGTTAAAATTCCTTAATATAAAGAGAATTTCACTGAAATTCTCGATGTTTATAATGAAAAATCCATGCCAGATAATTAAAAATTCGTTAAACTTACGAATGATGTAACTAAAACCCTTCCCTTAACGTATAAACTGATACAGAATGTGGTTTTATTTCTTTTAAAATGAATGAAATTTCGTTGTACAAATTGAATTTTCTCTAGTTTTAAAATAATTTCTGGGTAGCGTTTTGTATTCTAAAATGTAAAATAAATCTACCAGGAACGTTTAGACAAGTTCGGGAATCGAATGAAGTAAATTAAATTCTGGAATAGAATAAAATTTGTATAGGTTTATACCGTATACACACAGGCAAAATTCAATAGTAAATAAAACTAAACTGGTACTCTTTACCTTTGGAATTTTATAGTGCTATAAAAGTCGAAAATTTTATAAAAATAAATAGCTTTTATTTTATATTCTCGGCAATAGCATGAGAAAGGAAGCGTGTATTGAATAGAATAATCCAAACTGTCATTTTAATGACATTAAAAATGACTCCATCTAATGAATAATAATAATCGTAAGGATAAATTTAAGTATTAGTAAGTAAAATTTCATTGTTACTTTCCCGACTGTATTATGTATAAGCCATGAAATAAAAAAAAATAACCCTCAAAAATTTATAAATTTTAGGATCAGAGGTCCTCGAAATATCGAGAAATGCAAAAAATTAGGAAGGTTCTGTATGTACGTGTGGGGGAACGATTACGTTCGTCCACTTTGAAGCTTGATAACTCCCGTGCCTTTTGTCGAAAATTTCTGAAATTTGGCAGGGAGGTTTGGATATCATGGGCATTAATGCTATTAAATTTTGGTGGTTAAAGGTCAAGAGGGTAGGAAGATAGAGGGTGTTGGGATTAATGGAGAATTAACACGTTTTTGTTTTATTTTTTAATAAAATAAAACTCTTTACCATCAAAACTAAGCTTTTTACCACATTATAATAATAATTAATAATACAAAATGCATTTTAAATAAAATACTACATACAATTTTAACTCTTTTGCCTGGAAAGTTACGCAACTCGTTGCTGGATTATTCTTGTATTTTTTTTTAAAATAATTAACTGTAAAAAATCTATTTCGTTTAGGTAATATATATATATATATAAGAGGAACTTGTTTAATATTACAGAGCATCTGATCAATATGTTTGTTAGTATCCTATTTATATTGCAATGCGTTTAAAAATTAAAGGGTTTTTTAAGTGTTAAAACGAAAAATTTCGATTAAAACTTACTTCTTTTCCTCTCTTTAATGGCATAATCTCATTATAACAATTCAATTTAGTAAACGTTTTAACATTAACTGGATAATCTAACTTCACATCCTATGTTAGTTCCTGTACTTGATATCAACTGGAACTGTTCCAGATTTCCTCCCATTTCCCTAAATTAGCGCTTATAAAAGTGAAAAAAAACAATGTCAGGGATATTATTGGAGTGTAATTATATAAATTTCGTGTTAAATTCGTTAATTATAGGCCTGGGATATATATAAAAAGAAGTGTATATTTATGAATAATTTCGTGTTAATCGAGTTTCAATACCGTGAAACAATTTACGTTAAAAGCATTCATTTACGCTCGAGTTACTTTATTACTATTAAATTATATTTTTATGTTACTAAGTTTATTAATAATTTCATTTAGAGATTATTATTGTTATTGTGAAATTTTATTTATTAATGAATTTTAAAAAAATCTTTACTTAAATCCTTTTTTTTGTTTTCTGAATTAAAAATTGGATTTTATTTTTAAAATTAATTTAAAGTCTTATTTGAAAGTAAAAGTAATAAAATAATGATAGTGAATGAAAGTGAATTTATCACGTGAGTTAACGAATGTGACGTTGTCATGGTAACTTCATTCATAAGAACAAATTGTGAGTGACAATTCAAACAGGTGCTTATCAATGGACGGAGTTTATGAATGATTAATTTTTATAGTTTTATTTTGTAATTCTTAGAAATACCCAATAAAATTAAAAAATAATAATAATAATTTCTTTAGAAAAGAATTTTCTTCTAATTTTTTGAGTGTGAAATGATAATTTTGTACAGTCGACCCCCCTATAACACTGTTGATTATTCCGTTTTATATGAATTCCATGTTGTACGAGTCACTTACATGTTTCAAATACGTGAGCCGTTCACAGCCCGGCACACGTATTTGTAAAATCTAAGTGACTCCTACAACATAGAATTCATATAAAACGGAATTATCAACAGTGTTATAGGGGGTTGACTGTACTGGATTTTTGAGGGATGGGGAAGAGTAATGTTAGTAACTAAAATGTACATTTATTGATTCGAAGTACTTAAAATAATGACTGTAAAACACAAGAAATTACTCGTGCTTAAGTTAAGAGGGTAAACTTTAGAGATGGTTGGGGAGTGGGAATCCCCACAATATAATTTATGGGGTGTCGAAGAATATTCGTGCGGATACGTTGAACGGTATATAACTCTTTACCTATAGAGCATACGTAAATTAAGAGGGAGGTTGGGAAATACATACACACCTATTTTAACTTTTATAAAGTTAGATTTATATAGGCTAAAGTCTTTTTACATGTGATTCAATAGGACTTTCAGAACTTTCGTTACAAATTATTAATATCATAGCATTTTAACCTATGTTTATGAGAATCTATATTATACGAGCAAATTATTTATTGTGACATGGTTACAATGCCGGGCTGCAATTTTTAATCATATTCTTAATTTATTCAATTTAAAATATATGTTTTCCATCTCAAATTTGTAGTGTTTTGCTGCTATACATCATACTTTTCCTGTTAACAACAGAATCATGTCAGTCATCTATCTAACTCCGTCCAGGAGAAAAACTTTTGAATTAAAAACATGTGACTTCCCGTCTGCACCGGAAGTTTATATACAGTCTATCGGGGCCTCCTGTCTCCACTCTATATATATCTGGTCTTGACATTCATCTATTTACACCGTTCTCGAGATTAAGGAAGGACAGACAGACGGACGACAGTGGGAATTTATAGGTCTACAATGTTTTTTTTTTTTTTTTTCAAATTGCAGCCCAATTATATTTCTTTAGTCACGTTTCTAGCAATTTTTAATACGTTATTATAAACTTAATTACGATTCATATTCGCGATTAACACAGAACGAAATACGGTTAACTGATTTTTGGACCACCCTGTAAATTGGACCTCAAAAAGATAAGTGTCTTTAGTATTTTTTTATTTCTGAAATGATTTATTTAAGCGTTAAATAAGATTTTGTTTTGTTGTCTCAAGTATTGAACGTGCAGCGATGACTACAACGTTAGATCAACATTGTTTTTGTTTACCAGATATTGATTTATACACGCGTATTTTTTAAATTCTTTCTTGCGTTTTTTTTAAATATATTATTTATTTCCGTATAATAATATGTATAGAAGTAATATCAATATATTATCTATTAAATATAAACTGAAAAACAATTAAAAATTGACTCACCATCCGACTAACCAGGAACATCCACCCTTAATTAAAGCAAGATGTTCCTGCCAGTTACCAACTTTCTCATTGCCTTTTTCCTTCAACCTGTCCAAAACGGAAACCTGACTAAACCGGAAAAGTATTCGTTACTGTGTGATTCAAGTTTAAGCAGGTTTTACTGTAGTCAAATTGAACAAAAGAGTAAACGTGTTTCCTTAATGTATAAGATTTGCAATGGTATGAAAAATATGTAATAAATACTCTTTGAGGCCCGAACATGAGCGGGGCCCTACGAAATGGAACATTCTATGACAGGTCCTGGTAATTAAACAATGTAAATTATATCAGAAAATTATGTGTAAAATGAATGAATTTTTATAAAAACAAGAGTTTTATTTTAATTTATTTAGGTTTACAGTATTATTTTTTTAGCACTCGTATTTATATTTTTATAATGTTTTATTTAACTTTTTAAATTTTAATTCCTTGATAGAAGAGAAATCTATTGACTTTTCTATACACGCTTAGTCTAATTAATGTTTTAACAGTGTTTAAACTTTGTTTTCTTACAGTTTTAATTATAAATTAAATAGAAACAGTTCTTAACGTAAGTGCATCGAGTTCAGTTATAATTAGGATGACCTTATTTAAACAACGAAAAATAGGACACCAGCAAGTGTTTAGTTATACCAAATTCCATATAGGCCCTAATATAATACCACAAGCAGTAATGTCAAAAAATCACTCTAAGCATTACAATTTTGTGATTGTTTTATTGTTGTTATTGCTATGTAAGCGGGTTTTTACCAATAGAAAAAAAATCCAGTAACGAGTTGCTTAACTTTTCCGGCGACATTTGGTAGCGATCAGTGTTCGGCGGTTTTATCCACTCCCCTACTGTTGATTGTTCACGTGTTACGTTGACTTATCCCATTGGACTTTGGACTTGATACGTCAAAAAATGCAAAAAAATTGGGGGGGGGGTAATTTCTGTATGTATGGATGTTAGTTTGTGTGTGGGGGGCACTATTTTGTTCTCCCTCTTTGAAGCTTAATAACTTCTGTGCTTTTTGTCGAAAATTTCTGAAATTTTTCAGGGATGTTTGCTTATTAGAGAGGTTTATTGTATTAAATTTTGATGGTTAAAGGTCGAACGGATGGGTAGATAATGAGGGTCGTGTGTATCTCCAATATGGTCGGACTTAACGACGGTTATTAGCATTTACAATGTTTTTTTTATATAAAACTCATTCCTACCATCAAAATTAAGTATTTTGCCATTTTATAATAGTTAAAAAATATATAATGCTTTTTAAATACGATAACAGGACATTTAAAACACGTAGGGTACTTAATACACAATTTTTTCAGTTTGTCCTTCTAGTTTCCAATGATTTATTCAATGGCTATGGGACTGTATTTAACTTAAACATTCGAAAATTTAAAATAGTTGAAATTTAAACGTCATTATAAAATTTAATGTAAAACGAAGTTTATAATTTAAGCAGAATTAGCATTCTAATACGTCACGTGAGTTTACATGTTAAGTTAATTAAATTAGTTAATAAACATATCTAATAATGATGTAGTAGGTTCTACGAATTATCTTTTATTAAACTGACTTAAATTTAAATGAATGATTAGTGAGTAAAATTATCAAGATTTTTAAAAAAAGTATTACGTAATATTTACTAGAAAAACAATAAAAAATAATTCTTAAAAATGTTATAAACAGTCACACTTATAATATTACCCCCCATTCACTAAGTCTATGGAGTTTAACAGGGACGAGTGGATAAAACTACTGAACACCGGTAACTCGCACCTTGTCAACGAGCTGGCCATAAGCGGTTTTCCTCATTTTCTTTAAGTTATAACACCTAAATGGGCCAGTTTCCATAGAAAGTCTTCTCGAGGGCATCCCAACATCTAAACGTGGGCCAGTTTCCATAGAATGTCTTCCCGAGGTCATCCCAACACCTAAACGGGGCCAGTTTCCATAGAAAGTCTTCCCGAGGTCATCCCAACACCTAAACGGGGCCAGTTTCCATAGAATGTCTTCCCGAGGTCATCCCAACACCTAAACGGGGCCAGTTTCCATAGAAAGTCTTCCCGAGGTCATCCCAACACCTAAACGGGGCCAGTTTCCATAAAAAGTCTTCCCGAGGTCATCCCAACACCTAAACGGGGCCAGTTTCCATAGAAAGTCTTCCCGAGGTCATCCCAACACCTAAACGGGGCCAGTTTCCATAAAAAGTCTTCCCGAGGTCATTCCAACACCTAAACGGGGCCAGTTTCCATAAAAAGTCTTCCCGAGGTCATCCCAACACCTAAACGGGGCCAGTTTCCATAAAAAGTCTTCCCGAGGTCATTCCAACACCTAAACGGGGCCAGTTTCCATAGAAAGTCTTCCCGAGGTCATCCCAACACCTAAACGGGGCCAGTTTCCATAGAAAGTCTTCCCGAGGGCATCCCAACATCTAAACGTGGGCCAGTTTCCATAGAAAGTCTTCCCGAGGGTATAACCAACACCTAAACGGGGGCCAGTTTCCTTTTGATCAATAAAACAAACGTCAGATCAATAAAACAAACGTGAAGATTGCAAACAAAACACGAAGAGTCAAAGCTTAACACGGTTCTGATACCATCCCCTTGTTACGCATACGTAACGACATTTTAATTATAATTTTATACAATTAAGTCACCAGCAACACTTTAAAAAGTGATTACTTACACTTGTCTGTTTGTTTATCAATTACAGTAACCCG